GAGAGTGGCGAGCGAGATTCTCTGGGAGAGAGGCGAATGAAAAGATATGTATATATACAGTTTTCTCTCACTTTATACAAACACAAACACATTTTATACATTTGTGTTTGTATAAAAGTGAGAGAGGCGAGGGAAAGACTGCCAGCGAGAAAACGAGAGTGGCGAGCGAGAATTTCAAGGAGAGAGGCGAATGGCAACAGTTTGCTACGGGTTACAATTAAATCAAACTGTGGTTATAGTATTTAATTTGAATTAGTAGTTTGCTATTTTATACAATTTTCTCATATTAAAATGGGTTAAAGTAGAAATTGGGTTGGGTCCTGACCCGCCCAAGTTTACTTTGGGCTCAAATAGGGTTAAAAACGGATTGAGTCTTGACCCTCCCAATTTGACCTGCTTAATCTCAATAATTTTAATATATTATTATTTAAGTTTTTATAACCGCAATTTGAATTTCAACTCAAGAATAATTTTTTTTTAAAAAAAGTTATAAAGGATAGATAAATCCTAAAAGATATAAAATATCTAATGATTCATATCTTCAATATAGGAACATACATTACATCAATGCAAATAAAGAGTCTCAAAATGGATTGAAATCGAAAATTGAATTGGGCTCAATTGAGGATTCTCTTAAAATGGGTTAAGACTTGAATGAGTTGAAATTGAACCCAATTCAAATTATCTTGAGTCCAACCCTTAATATTCTTGACAGATTGGATGAGTTACCTATAGTTTGGCTCATTTCTGACACACCCTTAAGCATATAAATAAGGGACGGTCAAATGTATAAAAATGCTTATCAATGACAAAGTTGATTGTGATTAAAAAGATTTTCTTAAAAAGAATATTACATGAATATAAATTATTTAACCTAAAGGGTCTAAATGACAATACTCTAAACATTGGAGGGTCTAGCTGAAATATCTTGAAGATATTACTTTAGTTTAAATTTTGACCACAAGTCACAAGATATATAGTCTATCCATCCACAGATTATCTGCAGGAATTATTTATTTTTAAAAAAAATTGCAGCTAATATGGCTGTGTCTTGTGCACTTAGCATGAACTTTGGAGTTTTGTCAAGGGAACTTTTTTCACCTTTTCCACAATATCTCACTTCAACCTCATTGAAAAGAAGGGGAAGTCATTCCAAAGTTTCAGCAAAATTAGGTTTGGTTTAATTAAGTTTTAATTTATTGTTTATGATATTAATTAATGTTTCATATAAGAAAATGTTTTTTTGTTTGTTTGTGGTTGTTGATAGGAGGAGGAGAGGGTGATGTAAACAAAGATGGGAAGAAGAAATTCATAACTAAAGAACAAGAACCTGAACAGTACGTTTTCATATCTTTTTTTGTTACTATGCTTTTCGTCGTCGAAGACGAAGTCAGAATTTTAATTTTATGGTGTCTGAAGTTTATAACAATAATTTCAAGTGTTAATAATTGGTTTTGAATTTAATAGTTGTATAAATTTATAAACTTCTTAATGTGAATCTATTATTTGAGCAAAAATTATTGGTCATCGCAAAGCATATGTAGTAGACATTAAAGAGTTGAAGTGTGATAAATCCACAAAACATTGAATTTGTTAGTGAAATGATTGAGATTTTTTATTTATCTCCTTAATCAAAGTCTCGAGTTTGAACCCTTAGAATAGAAAACCTTATGGTAAGCTATAATTTTGCTCCATTAATTAGACTATTTGGAGAGAATTCAAATTAATCTAATAAGTGAATTTTGGTTACTGAATGATTGAAAAGGAATTGTCGAAACCTATGTTGATCGTATTTTCTAAAAATGCTACTACACCCATAACAATTTTTTTTGAAATGTCTGAACAGCATTGTCGGAATGTTATGAAGAGAACAAAATTGAGATAAATTGTTCATATCACCAATATAATCTTAACTAGTTGGAGCAGTTGATTTTTAGATGATCACTCAACTATAGTTATTATCTCATAAAATTACTTTTTTGTTGAAAAAAAAAAGACTTTCTGAGTTAATAAATATTAATTGAGTGACCACGTGAGAAATCAACCCCTACTTTGAGATTGGGGCTTATTTATTGATTTCTGTCTCATTTATAATTAATATTTGTTTTGGTTTTCTTGATTTTGATACATATATTACTATGAAGAAACACATAGGGAATTTTTCTGAATTGCCTATAATTAGTGAAAGAGGTTGGGTGTTATAGGTATTGGCAATCAGCAGGAGAAAGAGCAGGGGAGAACCCTATGATGACACCTCTTCCTTATATAATCATATTTGGAATGTCAACACCCTTTGTGATCTTGGCAATTGCTTTCGCAAATGGTTGGATAAAGGTTCCAATAAGATGATTAAACTCTCAATGCAGCAACAAGGGCTTTTTGGATGTCTCATTCTGACCTTTTGTCTTCATTTGAGTTCTCTATGTATAAGAGTAATCCCATTTCTATACACATTCTTTTTGTTTTGTGAAGATATAGAATTTTAACTTTATTGCACTTGCTATTTCCTTAGTCTGCACATAACTGGTACATTTCTTGCAAGCTGTTAGACATTTCTAGTAAGATGTCTTCGGGTTGTGTATCGGTCGGTTCGATTTTGAAGTTTATTTGTTCGACTTATCGGTTATCGATTTGTAAACATGTTAAATCGTTAAGAATCATTAAGATATTGGCTTATCGGGTATCGATTTATCTTGCTGCAAAAACAACACCAACACATCGTAGAATAACTGGAAGTTAGAGATGCTAAAAATAAAAAATGAAACTAAATCCTAAATCAAGGACTTTATATATCGATTGGTATAACTATAATATATTAATATACTATTGGATTATTGGTTAACCCGTTAGCAAAAAACCTCAAACTGTTAAGAATCGTTAACCTGATAATAAAAAAATCAAAATTGTTAAATCAACAATCCATTACCGATAAATCAATAACTTTTTTTCGATTTGGTTTAACTATTTTGGATCGATTTTGAAAAGCCCTGCTCTCAGCACACAAATATTAAAGAACAAAATAGAATGTGAAATCTAGGTCCACAAACTTTTCTAATTTCACGGCCTAGCAGACGAGGGAAAACGATATTATAAACGATAAAATTTGTGTTGAGAAAAATAATAATTAAGACAGAAAAATGTTGCAACAATCATAGTATTTGATTTCAAATATAATGAGTGTCACAATTTTATGATATTTCTCTGATTCTTTAGTAATAATACGAACTATGCTAATTTCAAATATAATGAGTGTTACAATTTTATGATATTTCTCTGATTCTTTAGTAATAATACGAACTATGTTAAATGAATTTGATTTGATTCAAATGTTGAAATAACTTTAATATTCGTCTTGGACTTGATTTGAGTAATTATCTGTTGCGAACACTTGGATGTTGGTAACGAATAAAGGATTTAGATTTCACATTCCAAAAATGTTCTTTAGCTCGAATGTTCTCGGAATCTTGGCTTATACATAGAAAATTAGCATTTTCGATTCCACTAGCTCTCTCTTGCTTCTTGCTATCGATTTCTAGAATTGTTACGGGAACAAACTTTTTTCCACCAATCAAATCATATTTGATAGTATATGTCACTAGTACACATGACACATTTTTATTGGTCTTTCATTTGATTAGGTATACTATGTCATAATGACAGGTGGCATGATTTTATTGGCTCATTCATTTGACTTGGTGTGCCACATCATGTGACCGTCAATTTGGTCGACCTTTAGGATAAAATGAGATTTTGAGCTTGACAAAGTGGGCTCGTCATTTGTAGATATCACGATCCAGACCGTTGTGATTGACATCCACACAAACCCTTCGGTGGGAAAATCATTACTACAACCCAAACAAACAAATTTTAAGAAAACTAAGACATGTAAAGATACGGAAGCAGGTTTAAATGACTATAAAAACGGAGTCCCCATAAACTCCAAGGTTTTAACAAACAACTAACCAAACTAATGCGGAAGAACAACCCCTAGAACCTGAAAGTCATTGTACCAAAACTCTACTAATGACAAGTCTAAGAACAAGGGGTACAACCCCGAAACTAAACAACACCTTAAACAAATAGTCTGAGTCCGAAAAGAGTGGACTTAAACAAGAAAGATCCATGGCAGCCCGAAAGAATGGGCTCACCCTTGAATCCGGTCACGCTCAATAGTTATCTAGCTGAGGTCTATCAATAGCCGCCTGAAGATGCCTTGTACTCAACAAAGAACAAGCAAGTGCAGTATCAGTACACAACCACAGTACTAGTGTACTGGTAGGATCATGCGGTTATCCCAATAAGTGAAGCACATGCAAGTAACCATAACATTATAAAGCAGGCATATACCGAACATATACAATATTAGTCATCTTTTCAGGATCAATGTAGCATCACATATTCTCAATAATACACATTGGTTATCAATTTAGAGCAACATACAGTCTTCCAATATCAATCATCATTAGATATCAACGTAATCATCACAAGTAGATACACAACACAATTCAATTGTCCTCTCACGGAACCCAATTCAATGGTCCTCTCATGGAACCCACACCCAAAACTGTTAGCATACCGGAACGTGGTACCTGATCCAATGTTTATGCCGGAATATGGTAACCGATCCCATAATTATGTCGGAATGTGGCAACCGATCCCATGTTTATGCCGGAACGTGGCAACCAATCCATTCAACAAACCACAATCACAATCACAATGTATATTCTCATAATCATACAACAAGAGGTGATTCATGGCATACAATTATTCAATTATCCTCATTTACGATTAGGGTGATCAATAATGCAACATTCACATACATACATGCATTATAATGAGCAATTACAAACATATATCACACCAACATAAAATCACAATCATTACCTACCTCAAATACAAGCTTGAATCCCTTAAGGCACTTGAATCTTCCCTTTCCAGATTCTTCCCGCTTGTTCGTGGTCTAAAAACAACAATTTATACGCAAGGATCAACGATCAAAGATCTAATTATCAGGATTAAACAAACTCAATAACCCTAGACCAAACCCTTGATCCCCATACCCAGATTAGTGCTTTTTCCACCATAAATTCCAGATGAAAACCTCCCCCATCGATAATTACCCAAGAAACTGAGTTCTACGAATCGAAAAATAGATTCGGGAAGTGAAAACCTTACCTTTAGCAACGGTCAAGAACTCGGTTGGGGTCGTCTCCTAGCTCTCAAAGTCGAAAAGTGCAGAATAAAACATTTTTGGGGTTTTATTTCCGACTTAAGTCGCATCTGTCCCGCTATAGCAGCCCCGCCCTGGCGGGAATAATTCCACCACAGCGGCTTGCATGGAAACAGTGAGCAGATTTAAGAATTCCAAACCCCCATTTCACAACACACCTTTATCCCATGACACTCAGAAAATACTCGTTCACGCTAAGATTAATTTTGGGAGTTCTACTCACTCGAATTCAATTCCGTAAAGTCGTACAGGTTCTATAACGTCTTAGATATCCACTCATGTAATCAAATTCCTTAATAGATCTCTCATTTGTTACCAAATTTTTCTAGACCTCAATGACTATGATTTCGTCCAAATCTGGACTAAGCTAGGAAATCTCAAGTTACTACGAAAAAGTTTTTTAGCCCCAATTCTTTTCCCAGAGGGTTTTCCATAACGATGGAATCAAGTCATTATAATAGATACTAATTTATCCATCACACGTCCTCGAGTGATCAACTAGGAAAGATTGGCTAAAAAATAAAGGTAGAGTAGTATCTGAATCGTCGAATTATTGGGGATACTTGTTTCGCCTGCTCATCTTATCGAATCTCATTACCCCCTAAGGGTTACACATCTCCAACCTCAAACCAACCAATTGAATACCTACACATCCTCCCTTACAATGCCTCAATGAAGTCATCACAATGCTCGAGGGATAATTATTGTTGTATGTACACTTAGCTAACCACAAAGTTATTCCCAATAACCACCAAAGTTTGACCGTACGTACACATGTCTGCAACATGCTATCAAGGACTTTGACACAAACATCAGGATAAATCATTTCTCACATAACCATGATAAATCCTAAATCAAAACTCGCCATAATTAGAGGTGAACCTGAACCAACCAACACACAATCATAATACCCGAACAATCATAGTTCTTATCAACATCTCCATCTCACAACCCAATTTCCCATGAGTTTAAGTTATAAAAAAATTGGTCTTTAGAAATCAGATACTCATCGAGGGATATGTCCAAGCATACAAATCCTCCAACAACACTATCAAAATGCTAGATTTAGAAATTGTAGATTACCTCTTAAGAACAGTAGAATTGGACCCAATGATTCCTACATTCAACCACACATAATCGATACAGGACCTCGACGACTAGAGAAATATTAAGATTACCGGACAACGACAAATACGCATGGTAGCTCTTCTATAAAATTCTCATAAGCAAGGTGGTACATGTAGAACCACTAAAATACTTTAACAACTCCAAGACAACACTAATTATAGTCATTCGAAATAACCAAAATCTTCCCAATCTTCCCACTAAACCAAGAGAACATCGCAGGATTTGGTACCCCTGATCTACTACTAGGGATCCACCCACAAAAGTGAAAATACACTAGAGCATAGCTAGTGAATCATACTCACAATACTAACAACCTTTATACACACTCCGACCATTTACCTTATTATAAACCAACACTTTTAAAAATGAAACCTTTCTTAGGTACTTAACAATCAATAGTAGTAAACTTACGACTCAACCCAGGTGTAAGTCCTTTCAAATGCTCAATACCAGATACAATTGATCATTTCTCACCTTAATAATTCATACCTTGACAAAATATATCACCACGAATGTAGACTCACAATGAAAAATCTAAATTGTAATTTCCACCATATAACACAATCTTTTCTCTATCAACATTAGCTTGTACCTTGAAGATTTTTATGAATTCATGGATCTCCGTTTATCATTGATCGCATCTCCATCGATCTTACCATATATTTCGCTAAAATTTCAATCATACTCATTACTAGCCTAAAAAACAAAACCAAGCACTTGTCATCACACTCAAGCTAATGTTCGCACACTCCTTTCTCAAGTCTTTTTCGACAGTTTTGACCCATCTGATGGACCCATAACACTATTACCATAGCCACAACAAAACAATGAAATCACGCGTCTCTGAACCCAATTATCTACCCCACTAAAGATATATCTTTAGCCCTTGCAATCAAATAAAATATTCTTGCTCTAGCCTCTCTCTTAAGTTTGTCCTACATCCCACTATATTTTCCTTTATTATAACTCTAGCTCTTTAACATTCTATTTGAGTGGTGTCCCACCATCTCTTAAACTTTCCATACAACCACGTTACTCACCCAATATTAGAAAACCACGACCTTAGACACTCGTAAGTCGTACTTACTATACAAAATTCGCTTTACCAATAATCTTATTATATAGTTGCATCCCATCACAATCCATCACGAACTCATACCACCATTACACTCGGTTAGCCCTGGCTATCACTACGAAATCAACCTTTTTATCAACAAGACACCTCAAACTCAGGTATACCCATCAAATTCAAAGGGCTAACCCAATTTTATACACATTTACTTACAAAACTGTTCAATCACCTTCACTCATACTCAATGGGACTTTCTTTATCCATAAGCTTGTCATTTTGGTATTAATCCACTTCATTATGGCTTAAGATAAAATCACCAATCCTCATACTACCCTCCATCTTCTTAACAACAAGACAGGAGCACCCCATGGTGAAGCACTAGGACGGATGAAACCTTATCAAGAAGCTCTTGGATTTGAGCCTTAAGCTCTCTTAATTCTGCTGGAGACATATGATACGGAGGGATGGAAAATGGGGCAAAGTGCCAGTTTCCAAGTCAATGCAGAAATCTATATCTCTACCTCCAACCAATCTATCTACCACACCTCCAAAACGGCCGACAATTTTTCTGGATAGGTCGAACTATTGGAAGAAAATAGAAAAGGAAAACCGAGTGGGAATTAATGAAATTACACCTATATCGTGAGTTGGAGGAAAGCCCATCTTTTTTTGCCTACTCTTGGTGCCTATGTACCGTACTCTTTTTGTACCTCGAAAGGGGGGTCCTCCTTATGATGACTCAGACACCACAAGAACAAACTCAATAGAGGGAGACTAAACCTCAACATCCCAAACATGAGCCATTTAAGCCAAACAACCCTGCCCCACCAATTTCCTAGCCCAAATGGAGGATATGATCTTAGCTAGCTTAGGCTTGTACACCCCTTCCCACTCTAATCTTTCCTTATCGGAAATCTCTAGAGTTACCGACTTAGTATTATAAGTAAGCACGGTATAACGGAGGGGGGGGGGACAATCAAGTCATGCCTAAGATTATATCAAGTCAGTCATATCCAGCATAACCAAATCAACCCAAGTATGAAAATCCATAACCTCAACATGACAACACGATACACATGGGTTTCTATGACTGACTATTCAACTAGGGTAGAAACATGGATGGGGGCATCAAAAATATAACAAACCACATCAAATCCCAAGGCAATTGAACTGACACATACGAATAAGTAGAACCCGGATCAAACAAAACAATAGCCATCCGGGCACATACAAGAGTAGCACTAGTGACCACTACATCACACACCTCAACTCGGTCTTGATCGAAAACACATATAACTTAGCCCTGTCATCTTGACAGGCAACCTCCTCTCCTGGCTGCACTACTCCTCTACCTGCATTACCATTTCCCCGGCCTTGCTGGTTTCCTCCTCATATGTCCAGGTTCTCCACAATTTTAACACACTTTATAACTTATATTCAATTACTGAACACTGAATTAGATCGCGGGGGTTAGTTCAAGTACGATTCGGGGTCCATAATTGTGACTAGGGAAAACAGGAGAGATAGGGCTGAGATTCTGTCTCGCCTTATCCCGCTCTAGAGGCCTCACCTTGGCAAGAAAATCCCACCCCAGCGGTCCCGACGGAAACAGAATCCCTACTAACAATTTTTCTGGGGTTCCTCTCTTTTCTATATTTCCCCTAGATTTCCCAACTATAACTAGGCATTTAAGAAAATCCCTTTAGCTAGGGCAATCATTGTCTACCCCCCGGTCAACCCAACGAAGTACACACTTTAGAATCCTTTTACATCGTTTCAACACTACCACACACATATCACAGGATACACCCAGACTCTCACACGGTTATCAATTGGTCACAACGCACGTCCAAATTTCTCGCTTACTAACCACATCATAATTTTTCTAGACCCTTGTACCTAATCTCGTGATAATTTTCTTTTCATAACAAATTTCACGATACTCGAGTAGTTACAACTTGCAGACAAGTCCAAATTCTTTAATTAGTTCGTTCCATAGACGACCATTACTGATCATTTATGCCTTATACGACCCCTAAGGCCATATACCAATTGGAACCTTCTCAGTTCCAATTAACTTTCTTGTGTCCTTTCAACAAGGACTACATCGTCTAGTTCACTTCGTTGAGATACCAATTGGACTCAACTCATACCACAAGCGACAATGGTAGCTAGCGAGCCCTATAAAACTGCTAATTTCAATCATAGAACTTGGTCGAACCCAATTCTTAACCGCCTCAACCCTTAACTAATGGTAATCAGACCTTAAATCAATCTTAGAAAAAATCGATGCACCTTGCAATTGGTCAAAAAGGTCATCTATCCAAGGCAATGAATACTTGTTATAAATGGTGACCCTATTCAACTATCGGTAGTCTATACACATCCTCTCTTACTAG